ATTTCTTCTACATCATCAACCACAAACGCAGAAAATTTCAGACCTCTAGCTAGCCTTTGGTGTCATTTTAGAGCTGCGCGCAATGGCTCCAGCCGCAGGTGTCTGTGTTTCTGTCTAATGCAAGCCTATGCGTTAATGCGGTACCCATTTAAATAACCTACACACATTTGAGCTTGATCGAAACCTTATTTCATTGGCTACAAAGCCCAACAGCCCACATGGTCTTAACCAATAACAGCAGAGACTAACAGCGGATCTACTGGGGTGGCAAATGCCACCCTAAATGACAGTCTTGCCACCCCTGCTGCCACCCCAGTTGGTGGTAAGGGTGGCAAGGCTTATAAATTATGGATAATTTGAGAATTACGGCCGCTAATTTCCAATGTCGGACTGCAGTGAATGCAGCACGAGATGACGCAAGAGCGACTGATTAGTTTTGAAAACCGAATGGGGCAAAGCGAGGGAGCCAGGGGTCATGGGGAGAGTAGATACGGGATTAAATAGGTAGAAACAGATTAATTATCTATCGAGAAATTAAATCAGAATGAAAGCACAATGTTGCTAGCATAGCTGCAATGCTGATTTTAACGTTATTTCTCTAACTATGATGTTAGTTAGGCCTGACGTCTCAGGCTCATAAAGACACATTTGCGGTCAACTATGACAGAAAGAGACTATCAAGCTTGGTTGAACTCAAATTAAAACGCAAAAAGGCATTTGATCTAAATACATTTGTGAAGCATTTTGCTGAGCAACATGGAAATCACTGCATTCAGCTGTTATAGTCATGTCAACTTTATGTTATGCTCTCTGGTGAGCCTTTACAGAGCTGTTACATTATGTTTTGGCACCTGAGAAGATTTGATATTGCCTTTAATAAAACCAGAAGTATTAAAAGTAAAGTTAAAAATGTGATACTGGTGTAAATCCTGCTTAATATGAAGCAGTGTTGTTGTTTGTTTGTTTTTTTTTTGTATATAATAGTATGAAACTATCCAGAAATGACCTGCATGATCCTACTCACAAAATGTTTTATACTTTTTCAGACTGGAAGCAAAATGTATGTTTATGTTGCTTCTTTTCAGATTTGTGGAGATTTTGATGTAACGTACAGTACCTGCCTTTTTGTTGATTTGTTGATACAGCAGCTCTATCTACACCATATTTACATGCATGAAATGTCCCTTTCATGTTGCCTTAACTGCTGTATGTCAAGTTACTTTTCTAGATCCACCCCTGAGCGGAGAAATAACACTTAATATCACATGCCACTAGCTGACAAACACATTATTGTCAAGATTTTGACATTTGTGGATTTCTGTTTAAGTTTCTTTTTAAGTTTTCAGTTACACTTTAATGTCATCCTCTTTTGAGGGTAATTGGTTTCTTTTCCATTTTGTGTTATATTTCAGAAGTGTTGTATTTCTTGAGTTACTACTGTATCTGTTGGCCCCTTGTGACAGTTTCCTTTCTGCCTGCTCCCTTCTAGTTGCTTCTATTGTATCCACACCTATCAGCTGATTAGCCCATTCTTTGTTCTGTCTCCCATATATACGAGTAATCCAGTGAGTGTGAGGACACTCACTGGATTACTCGATTCTCTTCATTACTTCACCCCTTTTGTTATTTTCCCTGACTGTCTCCTAGTTTTTGATTCCCGAGTCCCTTATGCGTTGTTTCTGGATTATTTGCTTCTGTACTATCAACATCTTCAATAAATCTGGAAGAAGTCATCTCTGCCTCCTCTACTCTGCATTTGGGTCCACAAAAACATCCAACAAAAAACAGTCTGTTAATCCATACTTTTTTTTTTTTTAGATTTTTTCAAATAATATTTTTATAATTTTTACTTTTTTGTGGTTATGCTTATTTTGTTTTAATTATTTAACATAAAAGCAATCTATAAGATGTATTTCATACGTTTTTATGTCCTGGATGACAAGGATCTTCATTTTTCTTCTTATCATTTCCTGTTCCCCCCTTAGGGTTCACTACCCTACTTTGTTGTGGGGATTTATGTGCCTCACTGACCTTAAGATCTATGCCAGCAGTTTTACTCCAGGTGGGGCAGCTAAGGTTGGCAGACCTTAGGGTAGAGGCCTGAATAAGCACAATTTATTTTTTTGGAGTTGGACACAGTTTATTTAATTCATTTTACTTTTTTATTTCATTCTCTCAGTAATATGAATAGCTCAGCTTGTATTTGCCCATTATTCATATCAAAATAAAATGAGTTATATAGCTTATTGGCCAATAAAAACCATAACAATTCATTTTAAATGTTCACTTTTTTTCTGCAGAAAAATATCTAGATTGATTTATCTCACTGTCAAGATTGCTCCATACTCCATTGCTAATACCCAACTGAAGTGCATATTTTGATTGTCACAATTATATAGCCATTAATATTACTGATTTACCATGCTCAGGGCTAAATGCTACAAGAAAAGTCACAAGGAGCAGAAAAGAGAGCGAGAGAGCTGTTTTTCACCCCTTGTGAGGTAGTATGGTCAAGGATCAGCAAAGTGAACAAAAAAAAGCATCAGCTACCTGTTCCAGATTTTTCTGATGGTTTTATTTGGCACTTTTAACTCTAACAACCATTCTCTTGAGCTTCCAAGAACTCAGTGTTTGTACAACCAATTGACAACACACCTGCACGTGAGTGGACCAAGCCACAATTAAACAGGTTAAAAAACATTAACAAAGTCTAAACAATGAAACAAGAATAAAATAATTAATCTAATTTAAAAACTCCCCTACACAATGAAAGAACCTGCAAAATAGACATTGTAATACAAGATAATGCAAAGCACTATTCCAGAGAAAACCCTCTAATTGGTAGAACCCAGCAAGGTCATCAATGACATCATCCAGCCATTTTAGCAGGAAATACTTGGACAAACAATGTAGAATATAAAGGAAGACAAATACCATAAATATACTTTGAAACAAAATAAACAAGTTTAATCAATAGTCCAGCAGTAGAAGCTTTAACCTAAACATATTAATAGATGGAAACTGTTACATAGTGCTAACACAAAGAAACCTGGGATAGTACAGTAAGTAAAGGAAAGTTGCAAACTAATGTTTAAATTTAATCATTATGAATCATAAATAAGAATAAAGGACAAGAGGTGAACACAAACGGAACCACTTTTTCACACCCCTCCCTCACTTTACTCTCTGACATTTTTCTGTTAACATTGCTTTTACCCCATGATTTCTTTCAGAAATATTTGATCAATGTAATCATCTTTGTTCCTGCAATGGACTAGTAACGTAACTGGGGGCGTTATGTTACATGACACAGAATGATTGAAATCCAAATTTNTCGCTTCGGAGACGGATTAGCTTCTGATTGGATGGAGGTAAGTCAGAGTTTCTTCAATTGAACTTCCGCTAGAGCTTCATATAATGCAAAGCACTATTCCAGAGAAAACCCTCTAATTGGTAGAACCCAGCAAGGTCATCAATGACATCATCCAGCCATTTTAGCAGGAAATACTCGGACAATCAATGTAGAATATAAAGGAACACAAATATCATAAATATACTTTGAAACAATATAAACAAGTTTAATCAATAGTCCAGAAGTAGAAGCTTTAACCTAAACATATTAATAGATGGAAACTGTTACATAGTGCTAACACAAAGAAACCTGGGATAGTACAGTAAGTAAAGCAAAGTTGCAAACTAATGTTTAAATTTAATCATTATGAATCATAAATAACAATAAAGGACAAGAGGTGAACACAAACGGAACCGCTTTTTCACACCCCTCCCTCGCTTTACTCTCTGACATTTTTCTGTTAACATTGCTTTTACCCCATGATTTCTTTCAGAAATATTTGATCAATGTAATCATCTTTGTTCCTGCAATGGACTAGTAACGTAACTGGGGGCGTTATGTTACATGACACAGAATGATTGAAATCCAAATTTTGCTCCAAGTCAGAACAGGAATGATTCTGTTGAAATAACCAGTCTGAGTGTTTTTTTTAATAGAGTATTTAACAATGATTCTGCATGGATTAACTAATGAGCTATATCACCTAAAAACAGTTGTATTTTATTACAATAGACAGAAAAATAAAAAGTAGAGCAATATACCACCAAGTTTAATAATATCGATTTACAATGTACAGCCTTTCTTATGTTATAAATGCACCATTTAACCATTGTTTTATACCATGCTTTTTTTTCCTGTTTTTTCCCCCAAAAGGTTTAATGACTGACCAATTTTACAAATGTGTTTTATTTTTGTGCCCATGTTGGCAAACTTAAATATCTCTGTAATGGCATCTTCCTACAGTTGAGTACATTGGTCGTCTCAGCAGGTTGAGTTTCTGAGACCAGAGCTGGAGAGACCGGAGCTGGATTGATAAAGGTTTTTGGGGACAGCGACTGATCACTTATTGGCTGAAAGGATTCTGAACTTGACAGCGACTCCCTCGAGAAGCCAGGGTTTTGGATTCCATCATGATGGTTTCCCTCTATGTCCTCACCTTTGCTCTGGGAAAACTTCCTTATTTGCCTTAGAAATGCTTCCTCTGTGTTTTCATTTTGTTTAAAGAGGATGATGTAACATTTAACCAAAAACTGACAGAACAGGATGCCCAAAGCAGAAATAACAATCACAACCATTTCAACTGCTGGATGATACTCGTTATTAACGTTCGTATAAACTGGGCCAAAGATGATCCAGGCGATGAAGTAAATCAGCATAGAAAAGGTGATGAATTTTGCATCATTGTAACAATCGGGCAAGTTCCTCCCTTTAAAGGCAAGAGCAAAGCAGTTGATTGCTAAAATGCCAATATAGGCTAGCATGACCCCAAATGCTCCATATTCCTCTTTGCACTTTTTAAGGATGTAGTATGTTTTAGTATTATGTTGTATGTCGTCTTTTTCAAATGCTTCTGAATGTGTTGTTGGAGCTTTTCTTGCAAGCCAGAGCACACAGATCAGCACTTGTCCACCCATGCAGAATGCAATAATCAGGTAAGGCTTGTAGAGTTTTTTCAGAACATCTTTGGTCACAGGGTCAAATTCAAAGGCCAAGATTATTTTAAATGACTTGACCAAGATGCAGGAGACAGACAAAGTGAAACTCAAGCCAAACCAAACTTGTCGGGCTTCGCATTTCCACTTTGTAGGTTTGGCACCAAATAACGTTACACTTCCAAATGTGAACAAAAGAGAGAAAAGGAGAATGATGGATACGGGGCCACCAGATGAGCGTACGACTGGTGTATTCCAGTAGGCTATGAAGATAATGGCAGCTATAATGGTTAGCACAGCTCCTAGAGCAGTGGCTGTTAGCACTGCAATGTGATAAGGATCTTCCCACTTCAGATACAAATCCTTTCTTTTTGTACAGTAACTACTGCCCTCACTGGAATATTCACTGTCTTCATCACACTTGTTGCACTGGGTAGCATCTGAAAAAAAAAACAAAGTTCCACTTACAAATATGTTGTTATATATTTTTGATGTAACTACCTAAAAGTTTTTCATTCATTTTTTTCCAGACTTACCTGTGGTGTTAGAATACTCATTTTTGGGACACTTTTTGCATTCATAGCAGCAAACTGGGAAGGCCTTATTGGTTGTAATCTTCATTTCACCTGGATTACATGTTGAGCATTTGGAAGTCACTCCTTCCTGTTAACAAATAGAAAACAGAATAGATTTTTAAAAAAGTACAAAAATTTTTCTATTTAAATACTTTTATAGTGGTGTTAACTGGGCCTAATAGTGTGTGGAAAGCTGAGGATGTGACAAAGGCCTGACCTGAATACAGCAAATCAGTACGAACTCTAAAGCAGGTGTGAAGTGCACAGTGGTCGTCGTGATGGTTCTTATTGTTATTCATTTAGTTTAGGGACCTCTCCATTTACCTATCTGGCACTTAGCAAAAACGATTCCCACAATCAGGAGCAAAAAGGATTCCCACAATCTTTTCCATTAAGGATGTACAAGCTCAACCAACCTCACAGAATTTAACAATTCAATATTACTGCATGGGATCCATGCTCCTTCATATTTTGTAGTTTCTGTAAAGGAGAGATTCAGCCATTTGCAACCCTTGTGCAACACAGGTGTTTTTGTAGTTATTTTCTTTAGAAAGCTGTAGTCCCAATTTCAATGGCATTATCCATTTGTAAGGCTGTCTAATGGTGTTCTAACCATTGACCCCACTAAATGTGAAGGAACAGGAGCTAGGAGAAAGAGTTTCCTTTTTGCAACCAAAAACTGTCCTGTGTAAGAACATTTCTACATATTTATTGTTGCTAAGTTCCACTCTGATTATACCTTAAAGGTTGTAAAATTATTGCCATATATATGCTTGATCTACTATTGAAGTCCAGCCAAGTAAACCTAAATTCAAATAATGTTACATAGCCCACACTGGTTAAAAAACAAAACAAAAAAACAGTCCCATTCACTGTATTGACAAATCTTTGTTTTTCAGAATTATTTAATTCGAATTCAATATAGGTAATAGAATTAAAATATTATAAACTGGGATTTATGAGGTATACATGAAATATGTTTTGCATGACTGATAAAAAAAACTTATGAGATATAAACTTACAAACAGAGTGAAATACTTACAATTTGTTCATATAAAGAGCTGAAACCTGAGTTGAAAGCCAGGCTCTTCTTTGCAATATCATAATAACCAACAATATTGTTCAAATTCAAATCTTGTTTTGAAGCAGACTTCCACAGGATGACATCATAACCCGAGTCAACCTCACAGTCCGTATTAAATGAATAGTTTTCCCCATCCAAGGAAAACTTTGAATTTTTTAAGGCATCTCTGAACTGAAATGACAAAGAATAAAAAGCTGTGATTACTACTGACATGCCAAGTAGGTGGCTATTTCCACATTCAGCAAGTTCAATGCTTTTTTGCAAAAATTCTTAGAAAGTTTGATTTTTTTTTTCCTGTGCTTTTTTCTGCCTTCATATCTATATCTTGACCTGCTTAAGCAATTCAAATATTTTCCCTCATGTAAGTTGGATCCTTTTAGAAGTTATACAAATTTAGATTGTATTCAACATCTGCTACTCTGCATAAATCTGCACACCCATCAATCTTATAAGAATGTTTCAGGATCCAATGAAAACACTTGCCCACTATAAAAAAATGTTCTTCAGAGCTCTACAGGAAACTTTTTGTTTTTCTGTTCTGAAACTTTAATAATCTTCTCAAGAAGTAATTGTTTTGCTGATTTGAAAGAACCTAAAATACTGTAGTAGTTTTGTTCTGGACTCGGTAAAGGCTGTTTTAAAACTTTAATTTTCCTCTAATGGAGTATTTTTTTTTTACATCTCACCATAACTGGTATAATTTATGTGGCAACCAAAAAAAAAGACAGCTCACCAATTGTTTGTTTATAC